CCAAGCACACAGTTTGTTGATGTTCGACTGCAACTTCTCTGCGTCATCATCACACTTGACTTCACTCCATATTTTTATGTCATCCGCGAACATGAGAGCCTCGCAATTCACTTCGCTGATGCAGTCATTAGCATAAATCAGCAAGAGTACTGGGCCTAAGACAGAATCTTGTGGGACACCACTTTCCACCTTTACCCATTCCGAGGTAGAATTACTAACGACAACTCTTTGTAGTCTGGAGGACAGAAAACTCCTGATCCACTTAAACATTCTCCCTTGAATCCCTACATCCCAGATCTTTTGTAAAAGAAGCCTGTGTGGGACACTGTCAAAGGCCTTGTTAAAGTCAAAAAATATGACATCTACTGGAAAACCCTTATCGGTAGCTCGTGTCCATTTCTCGTGCGAGTAAAGAACACTCGTTAAGCAGGAGCGCCCTGGACGAAAGCCGTGTTCGGCATCGCACAATATTTTGTTCTGTTCCAGGTATTTCACCAAGTGTCTTTTGATAATGCGTTCCGTTATTTTACACGCGATGAAAGTAAGACTGACAGGACGATAATTGCCGCAGTCAAGTCTTGAGCCTCCTTTATGGATCGGAGTAATGAGTGCGCACTTCCATTCTTCCGGGAGCTCGCCGTCTTCAAATGACTTTTGACATCTTGCGGATAAGGGTTTGCACAGTTCATTAGCAAGTTCGCGAAGTGCTAGGGCGGGAATTCTATCTGATGCTTCTCTTAAAATCATTTATTTTTCTCCTGAAAGTATTCAAAAACTGATAAGCCATCTTCCTAACTCTCACTCAGTAGGTACGGACAATATCCCAAACTCTTTGATAAAACAGCTAAGAGATTTTCCTCCTCTGCTTAGCAAAATCTTTTCAGTATTTCTCGTAAATGGCTTCTTCCCTGACTATTGGAAAACTTCTATTATTATTCCAGTATTTAAGTCTGGCTGTCGTTCTGACGTACAGAACTATCGAGGTGTCCATAAAACACCCTCTCTCGCCAAAATCTTTGAAAAAATTATCGCCGTAAAAATGACCGACTTTTGCATAGCCAATCAAGTTATTAGCCCTTCCCGGCATGGTTTTTTTACCAGATTGCTCTTGTGAAACATGACATCTGTCGTTTCTCAATCTACTTACCTCTCTTCGTAATGACCATCTATCTGTTGCCGTTATTTATTTTGATCTTAGTAAAGCCTTTGATAAAGTACCACATAAAAGACTCTTGGTTAAATTGGAAGCTGTGGGAATTCGCAGTCCACTTATACACTTTATCAAGTCATACCTGGCAAATCGTAAACAAAAGGTTTTGGTAGGAACTTCACTGTCCAATGAAAGCTCTATTGTAATTGGTGTCCTACGAGGCACCGTTTTAGATCCCCTTTTGTTCTTACTTTACATAAATTATATTTCGGCAGCAGTTACACATTCTCAATCATTTATGCCGATGATCTCAAATGCGTATATCCTTTCAAAAAATCTACGAGCCTTCATTGCCTGGAGCAAGTCCATGCTGACTTGCTTGCTCTCTCAGCTTGGAGCTCAAAATGGCTAATGGAGTTCTCGCCGGCTAAATGTCGCTATATGTGTTTTGGACCTGACAGGCTACCCCAACCAGTGGTCTTTCAAGGCACACCTATGACTGAATGTACCACCATCAAGGATTTCTGTTTAAGCTACACTAGTAATCTTGATCTCTCGCCACAGGCTGACAGAATTACAGCCAAAACTGCCCAGATTTGTGGCTTTATTTCTTAAAATTTCTATCTTCCTGAAATTAAATTAAGGCACTATCGTATGTCTGTACTTCCCCTTCTCGAGTATTGTTGCCCATTCTTTGGTTTGATGAATCAGGCTAGTCGTTTAAAAATTGTAAATGTTCAAAGACGTTTTTCTAAAAAACTTTTAGATAGGGAACTTCCAAATTTCTCTTAATCGGATAGATGCCAGCTAATTAACCTAAAATTTTTATGGGTTCGAAGACTAGAAGCGGGCTTCTGTCCCCCTTTTCGCATTAATCATAGTTCAAATTTCACTCGGATTTCAGCACTCACCCCTAGTAGTCGCCTATACAATCTTCGCAACTCGTCCTTGATTATACATCCTCCAGCGTCCTCCACCTCTAGGCGCACCCTTTTCGCTTCCAGATATACTTTCCTCTGGAATAACCTTTAGTCAGTTTAAGTCAGTTTATTAAGGGAATCAGACTTTCGCCCTTGAACTCCCTATTCATATCGATAAGCAGAAATAAGGTCATCAATTACATCAGAAAATGCGAAAAATTAAAAAGTTAGCGATAAGTGTGAGCTAGGCGCAAACTGTCGCCGCTAAAACAATCATTATTATATGTACAGTAGGTTGTCAAAAATGAGCATCTAGTCTGCACTTAAAGGATTTGACACTTTCGAAATGAACGACGGCATCAGGGAGTCCATTTCATGCCCCGATGACCCTGTGAGAGAAGACGTTCCGTCGGACGTCCAAATGAGCCAGCTTCCTCGGCAGACGGTTAGTCCGACCTATTCAACGAATTCATCAAAGTCTAGGACACACTCACAGCCCCTGACAATCCTGTATGTTTCAATGAGATCGCTGCGCAGTTGCCTGTATTTTATAGGAAAAAGATTTAGTTCGCTCAGCCTGGTTTCGTAAAGCAAATGATAAAGATTCTTGACCATCTTCGTAGCCATCGCCTGCACTCTTTCCAGTCTTTGATAATCTTTCTTTAACAGTGGTCGCCAGGCCTGGCCTGCATACTCTAAGTAAGACCGGACGAATGCCCCATAGGTTTTTCCGAACAGCTGTTTATCGATCTGCACAAATCCTCGCCTCAGCGCAACTAACACCCTTATCACACTTTTGGCTGCCCTCTGACACTGTGATGATGGTTTCAGCGAGGAGGTCACTAGGACGCCCAGGTCTTTCTGTTCCACAACATTTGAAAGGGGCTGACCACCCAGGACGTATTGAAAGGAATCGTCCTCCTTACTGGTCCGTCTGGTGCGGAGTCTCAGGACCACACATCTGTTCACATTATAACTAAGGAGCCAGCGAGCTGACCAACTGTTCAGGCAGTTGAGACTGTCTTGAAGCGCGTACCTGTCTGCATCAGATCTGATGGGTCTCCACAGCTTAACATCGTCAGCAAACATGATGGCGCTGCATCCCAGGTCGTCGACGCAGTCGTTTATGTAAAACAGGAATATCAACGACCGTAGGACGGAGCCCTGGGGTAAACCATTTAGAACGGGGGTGAGAGTTGACCTTGAGGCCTCACTGCACACGGTTTGCGATCTCCCGGTAAGAAAACCTGTTATCTATGTCAACAGCCTTCCTCTTATCCCAATGTCAGAAAATTTGTAGATTAGGCGTTTGTGTGGGACGCTGTCGAACGTCTTTTTAAAGACTGTGTAGATGACATCGACCCTACCATCCTCGTCCAGTGATCGAGTCGGGTGATTGAGGATTGGAACAAACTACCCTATTAAGTTGTTTTGGCGGAAAGCATTGAGACAATTAGGAGAAGACTTGATTACATTGTTTATGATGACCATGCATCTGCTTGATAAGAAATGACAAGGTGTGCCCGTATATCTACATAAGCACATGTGCGTTTTTTCTGTCAACGTTCGTAAACAGGGTTTTCAAAGACTATGCCTATCTCCTTTGTATATGCTGAATTATCCTGAAAATTATCCAGAGCTTCGCTGGAGGAAGTGTGAGCTGAGGAGAGGGTACAGGTTGACCCGTGAAACCAATCTGGAGTTAGGCTGCACGTTGAACCTTTTTGCTGAAACCGAGAATCTCTCGTGCGGAAAGAATAGCCCTTCAGAATACCAGAAAATGGCGAAGTTGAAATATCCAAGTGGATGTCGACCGAAGGTCCGGAAGTGACGGCAAGAACTGTTGAAAGTTTGAGTGCGGTATTCGTGAGGGAAACGGTTGGCGCAAGAGCTGCGAAGACGTTTGACCTCTGAGCCCAACCCGGGTGAATAGTTTACGCAATCCACAAGTAAAACCACTGATGCCTATGATAGACATTGAGTGCAGTGGTGAGTTTGAAACTAGGTCGTTCTGCTTAACTAAGAAATGGATTTCGGTTAGTGAAGTAAGAATAACTTCATGGCTTCCAGAATTGAATGTACTGGGCTTTGCTTTTTGAATGCGGCATGGACGCCGAATACTCAGACCATTCACAGACTGAGTGAAGTTGTCAAATTGAACAAACTTTCCACCCACTTGTGTAGTGCCAGACTGTGCATAACCGTTGGCCTGGTTCCGTCTGTCCTCTCGCCTTCAAGATGAGCATTTTGCAGAAGATCGCAGAAATTGAGGCCGAGGTTCGTTCCATTTTCCCTTATGATCAGGTTTTTTGCGAGAGTTGGTATTACCAACAGTTGCTTCGTCCGATATCCTTTTTCCTTCACGTGGCTGTCCGGTTAGACAGCCGGTTCAACCGTTGTTGCTAATTGCAAATCTAAATACCCCTCTATCAGCTTTATTGTCATATGATACCTTTTTACTTCAGCGCTCCGTAGGGAGCGGGGATACTGTTTTGTGCGCGCATTCCCCCCGTCGTTCCGCTTTGCACGCATCTCCTCACCTGCCTTAGAACATATTTACTGCGTTACTTTTAGACGAGGCGGACAGAACATGCTGATGTTCCAGTGCTTATAAGTTGCCTACTTTGTTTAGCCTACGTATCCGCCCACATCGATCGTGTCCCTCCGACCTCATGCCGTTTGATCGGTGCTCTCAGTGAATGTCGAACCCTGATTATTGACTTCAGTGTCAGACGGACATTTATTCCAACTTTTCTAAAACTCCCTTGCTCACTGCTAAGCAAGAGACCAAGAGATGGTGCGTTGGCTCTCGATTTGGTTAGTAAATGACCTCCTAGGGCATATAAGTAAAACCTGTACTATTATATCGATATATTCTAGCACAGTCACCTTCAGGAAGTCCACACCCGCCCTGTTGTATAATGATTATTTCCAACATTCAAAATTAATCTCATCATCTGGCAGGCGAGTGGTCTTTATCGACATCAACCCACTAGATTCATGCTTACTGTGGCTCAGTCACGGCATCGGGGATGGTGTTCCTGAATAAGGTCTATTTTTCGTCCGAGTAAGGCCACCTATTGTCGCGATTTTTACTGAAAGCAAAAAATTCGATGACGGCCTTTTGAAAGCCACTGATTGTCGCCACATCGACCAGCCAATGTCGTCCGTTCCACTCCATTCACTGAGCGTCGCAATTGCAGTTTGTGTCCACAGGAATGCAGTCAATCAGTACGGCTGTCATCCCGTGATTTGAATATCATGTCGATCGATGTTTTTTCGGAGGCTGATACTTCCTGTTAGCCGCAACCAAGACGTCAGTCGTCACTCACTTCTGTGTAGTCTCCGGCATCCGCCAGAGCTACATCCACCCACCAACTCTAGTCAACTTCAGCGCGCACTGACTGACCACCGCGGTATCGTTAGATTGTTATCCACATATCAGAGGCCTGTAGTACGACGTTGACGTCATAGTGCGAGTGATTTTCACCTCAGTAACGTGGTCCTGTCCCAGATAGGCGCAAAAGACGACCGAAGTGGGCCTGGGAATGGGCTCATTTAAGACTTTAATACCTGCCTCTGACTACGTGATCCGACATAGCTGCCCGGTCGGGGTCTACGGGTACATTGTGCAAACTTTGGTCACACTTTCTTTAAGGCAGACAAAGTTAAAGTGTAGTCGATCACGTGTGCTCGACCTTCACCCGAATTCGTCTGAATAGTGTGATATTAGTTAGAAGGCTAGACTGTATCATGCAATTCTCCCGCCGAGATACTCGTATACTTCTATTTGGTACGGCTATGATCATGTCGGATCTACCTGACCTCGCTGATGTCTCGCATTTTACCTCTCCACGTATGACGATCTGCGGCAGTGGATCTAGACAGATCGACGCATTCTCTTCTCCAGCAGCGACGGCCGAACACCAAACGTCCAAGAGCCATCACCATTTCATGACGAACTGCATCGAGCCAGGTCTTGAGTCCACCTTTCCTTCGACGCCTCCAGGTGAGCAGCGGCTCCGGATCAAAAGCAGTGACACTGAGCTCGTGAGGCGGACAACGAAGAACGTGCCCAAACCACATCGGTCGTCTTTCTTGCATGGCCTGAGATATCCACGCAATGTTGTTGCAGCGAGTGTGAACTGCATCGCTTGAGACGAATTCCGTGTACTTCATTCTAAGGATGGTCCTCAAACAGCGGTTGTCAGATGCCTCTAGTTTTCGCCGTTTTCCTACAAACAAAACCTCAGTATTCACAACCGTATAGGAGGACTGATCGGACAGATGAACGGTGCACACAAATCTTCGTGGCGATGATGTCGCGCGGGTCTATGAGCACTTTCTAAGGGTTGAAAAAACCCTGCAAGGAGCATCGATTTGGGAGACAATGTCGTCCCTTCTCCAGCCTCGTCACGAGGTATTTGAAACTGTTTACTTCTTCAAGTTGATAAAAATTAATCCAGAGGGGTAATTTCCTGGTCAAGGATGCAGGTTGAAAATAATTCGGCCTTCCCAGCGGTTATGGATAAACTGGTCGAAGTAGTATCTTACTTCACCCATGACATCGCAGACTGTAGATCGCGAAAGCTCGAAGCTAGCAAGGCCATATCGTCAGCATAGTCGAGATCAGTCAGTCGGCATTCGGGTGCTAACTCAACACCGTCAAATCCATGTAGGGCCCTTCCGAGAATTCAGTCAGTGGAGTAGTTGAGCAAAATGGGCAACTGGATGCAACCTTGTCGAACACCAGATCGGATATCGAACGGTTGGTACGAATGGTTATGAACCAGAACTCGCGCACTGGCGATGATTTCTGCCGGTACGTCGTCTACTCCAATTATCTTCCACAGGGGCAGACGATGGACTCAATGAAGTGCGAGGGCGAAGTCAACAAAGCAGTCGGCCGTCGGTCGCTGGTAGCCATGATGCAATTCCATAATGTGCCTCAGTGTGAATATCTGGTCCATCCTCAGCTCGGAATCTGGTCAGGTTGGGCATTATCCTAGAGACACGTCCAGTTTGAAGTCGACTAAGAAACGCAACGGCGAAGACCATCGCAGCAACGTCGATGAGGCTTATGCCGCGGCAGTTCTTTTGCTCCATCCTGCGCCGCCTCTTGAGGACAGACAAAAATGTCCTAGCCCAGCCATTAGAAAAGATCTTATGCTTACCCAGCCACCTCATGGAGCCAGGGTGCCAGAATGTCGGCACAAGAAATGTAGGTTTCAGCAGAGATACCGTGCTCTCGGGGCGCTCTGTTGCTTCGCAGCCCGCCTACATTATCTGCGGCCACTCATTCAGAAGGGGAGTCTCATGACACTGGATAGCCCGGAGAGGGATAGAATTCGACAGAGAGCGAGGGTGTGATGGATTGTTCACCAAAGTGAAGAAGGTGCTCGAAGTGCTCACACCAGCGATCGATCTTGACCGAGTTGTCAACAATAAAGCCGCCAGTCACATCTCGAGCGGAGTCACTAAATGTCGAAGGCCAACTGCCATCTCGCGGATAATTTGGCTGTTTCCGGATGCCACTAACATCTGAGGCCTGTTGCATTTTTCATCCCAACATTTCCTCTGGTCACTCCTAGCCGACCTTGCTATCATTTTCCGGAGTTGGCGAAAGTAAACATCGTTGCAGGACCTACCTCGAGCCGTTTGATCGGGCAATTTCAGAGTCTCTGTTAGTCCAGTCACCGCGTCACCGCTGGGCGAATCCAAGAATTTTCTCAGATACCCCCATATACTGTTAACTCCAGTGATAACCACTGGCCACTGCCTTCTCTGTTGACTCGCATCGTAAGACGGGGTCGGATTTCTCTGCTCTGAGCCTCTCCGGTGCTCGTATGCCAATGAAAAACATGCTCCATGCGCTTATATTCGAGTACCACTGGTAATTGAGATGGTTCTATGTGCTGAATCGACCCGACCTGCCTCCTACCCATACAATTTGTATGTATTATGACTTTAAGATCTTTATTCCAGTGTTAGTATGATCCTGTGTCGTTGAATACGTAATTGAAGGCTAATTTGGCTCGCTCGCGTGTTTCCAGATTTGCTGCCGCGGATCGTCACGCACGGAGAAGTACAGTCCGTGACATCATCTAGGCCGACTAGACCAGACATAATCCCAGCCGCACCAGATACAAGTAACTAAGTGTCCGAGTATTTACGCCCCCTTGCCATAGGTTGCAGCGTTAGTTGCCCTTTGTTTCCATCCGTGAACTTTGGCGACCACCATTTGTCAACGCCTTCCATTTTTGCTCAGCCGCTTTTGTTTCCACAATGAATGGCTAGCCTCTGTAGGATGGGTGTTTAGGCGCATGCGAGAGAACTCGGTTGTTTTCTCCCTTACTTCACACTTATGAAAAGTATGGTGTTCTAGAATACTCGTCGGTGGAATAGCCGAACGGCGAGCGGGTGGAACAAGTCTAGGGGTGGGGTTTAGATAGACAGTGATGCGACATTACTGAAAGTCGTGGCCTCAGTTGTCGTATACTATATAGAAATGTCTATTTGTCATGTTGTGTGTTAAAACTGCAGACTCCACCTGAGTATGCGCGGTCCGGACGTCGGTAGGTTGAGGTGACGTAACCTTTCGGGTTGGTTTGTTCCGATCTTTGCTGGTGGGATTGTTCTGAGAGATGCTGTCGGTTCCATGGAGATTGAAACAAAACTCCACAAACAGGGAGGTCGGAGACCAGAATATGCATCCCTAAGAAGGATTTGGTTAACCCCATCATGATGCAATTTTTTTGCATCTACCCAAGTATCTTTATGCAATTATAGTCGCCCTTATGCACAAGAAAGTATCTAATCTAAATTCATTTTCAGATGGCCAGAACCCAGAAAAATAAGGCAACCATGGGTCACATCGGTCTTCTGAAGGCCCGGCTTGCGAAACTCCGACGCGAGCTGATTGAACCCAAAGGCGGCGGTGGAGGCGGCGCAGGTGAAGGTTTTGATGTGGCCAAAACTGGAGACGCTCGGGTCGGCTTTGTTGGCTTCCCCTCCGTAGGGAAGTCCACACTGCTGACGAACCTTGCAGGTGTCTACTCGGAAGTTGCTGCCTACGAATTTACCACACTTACCACCGTTCCCGGTGTCATTCGTTACAAGGGCGCCAAGATACAACTGCTCGACCTTCCGGGTATCATTGAGGGTGCTAAGGACGGAAAAGGTCGAGGCAAACAGGTCATTGCCGGTAGGCTTCCTCATTTCCTCTGAGCAACCTTTATTAAACCATTAGTCGCACGCACCTGTTCCCTCATTTTAATGATCCTGGACGTCCTAAAGCCCCTGCAGCATAAGCGTCTGCTTGAGCACGAGTTGGAAGGCTTCGGTATTCGATTGAACAAGCAACCACCAAATATTTCCTTCAGGCGAAAGGACAAGGGTGGTATCAACTTTCAGACTTTGGTATGCGGGCTTCTCCTGCGAGCTTTACTTTCTAGGTTCCTCTGACTGAGCTGGACAAAGAGACGGTCAAGACGATTTTGACTGAATACAAAATCCACAATGCTGACATCACCTTTAAGTGTGACGCCACCGCGGAGGACCTTATTGATATTATTGAAGGAAATCGTGTTTATATCCCCTGTATCTACGTTCTCAACAAGATCGACCAGATTACAATTGAAGTAAGCACCAGACCCCCCTACCCTGATTGTTGCCTAATGATAGGAATTGGATATAATTTGCAAGGTCCCGCATTGCGTGCCTCTCTCAGCCCACCACAAGTGGAACTTTGACGACCTACTTGAAATGATGTGGGAGTATCTCAGTCTCATAAGGATCTACACCAAACCCAAAGGACAACTACCAGACTACAGCTCACCTGTTATTTTGAAGTCGTCTGCGCATACTGTCGAGGACTTCTGCAACAAACTTCACAGGAACATCATAAAGGAGTTCAAATAGTAAGTTACACAATTCGGCTTACTAATTTACATTCAAGTAGTCAAGATAAACCCATGTAATGTCTCTTGACGTTCCCCCTCCCATTTAGTGCGATCGTTTGGGGCGCATCTGTGAAACATCAGCCACAGAGAGTGGGTAAGGATCATATTCTTATGGACGAAGATGTCGTGCAAATTGTGAAAAAGTAAGTTGACCTTTTATCTGCCCGTCCAAATAAGTTGGTATATAAGGAAGCCTTTTTGTGAACCACAGGAATTTTATACGGTTTACGAAATGCACAGTCGAAACTGTTTTTGTTTTTCTGCAGGATCTAATCGAAGCCTGTCCCAAAACACGTGTGTAAAGCCTAACTATCTTGTGAGTGCCCTCACAATCTTCCTGCCGAGACCTATGTACAAAGCGTTGAAAGAAATATATTTTCCTGGTGCCACGATCTTACGTTCTTCTTTTCTCTACCCACTAATGCTGACGAAGTCGCTGGTTATTTGCATACTTTGATTATGCTTTTGCATGCGTTTTAGAGTCCAGAAACTGCATACTCAGTCTTTTTTTCCTTTGTCCACACTCCCGGTTAAGGTGGGCTCGAGTGCCCTTGAGATAGGAAATGCGCTGCCATTCCAAGATGCCGTATTTCCGTTTAAAACCTTCATTTCCATAATCAGTTCGTTTAGAAGTCAGATAAAAGACTCGAAAAAAAATTACGAAAATGCTATAATCACTGGGTTTGACATCGACCGCCATGCTTTAACCACCACCTGCGCATCCCAAAAACGTCTTCCGGTGGAGATGTAAAATTTAGTACAATGAAACAGGGTTTATGATTCTTAGTTCTTCGACTGGTCTCAAGTATATCTGAAGGTGCATAAGAAAGACAAGGGAATAAGCTGTCTAAATCTAAAGAAATGGCCAATCATGGTCGCTCTCCTGCGATGCACTACTGATTTTGACTGTAGTAGGATCGGCCTGTTTCCTTGAGGATGGGGAGGGGGTTGACTCGACGCAGTAATTGACCGATCTCTGAGTTACTCATTGAGCGCCTTGTAATCCCCGCCCGTCTGACTCTTTGACACAACTATCGAAGCCATTGTTTCGTGATAAACAGTCGAACAGCCACCTTATGCTCCAGCCGCCTCGACTTAATTGTCGGTACTTCGTAATTTGTGGGATTGCAGAGCGGTAAATAACCTTACCGTGCCCGCCTGAGTTTAGTCGCTTCTTTTTACGCATGAATCTGTCCATTGTGGTTACCGGCTAATGTTCAATATTGCTCGATTCGCTCTTTGGCCGCAGCGTTACAAGGCCATTCATGTCATACACAGGGGTTTCTCTCGTTTAACTTATTTGCTCAGAAACGTTTTACTGCCCCCTCTTACACACCCACCTGCGCGTCATGTTCGTGGCGAGGTGGTTTGCGGGTAACTTAAAATAACCGAGATCTGGTTCCACCGTATTTCGGTAGAGAGCGACAAAAACGAGACAGGTATCGTCGACATTATGACAAGAATGGCCAGAGCCATTTCACAGTGTTTGTCTGAGAACTTAATCGGTAGATGTAAACGGAGTAAGGAGACTGATCAAAGAGTCTAGCGGTGACTTCGCAGGACTCTGTGTGCCGGCGCTAGATCGATATATTGATTGCCTGGGTTCTCGTCTGAGGCCTGTCGTGTGTCCTGTACATGCAATTATCCTGACGCCTGCAACGTTGAACTCCCGACCCTGTGATGAGAGCTCAAGTAATTGATATATTTATCTGGAGACCTCATACGGAGCCCTATGCAGTCGCCGCCACACCTGAGATATCAGTCGTGGGTTGGATGATGAGTCCTACAACTTTTCTGCAGGAACTCCAACGGGTTCCTCAATCCCCGTTTTATTGGCAAATTTAGATCTTTGTCTGCTCAGACGGCTAGAGCCAGGTCCCGCAACGATGACTACTTCCGCCAACTTCGGAAGATCACGGCAAAATCGGCCAGGGATGACCGGAAACAATATTGGGCTGAAATAGCGACCTCCATGGAACAGGCCTCGAACGTTGGTGACACTCGAAAGCTCTACCGTCTGATCCGCCAAGTTAGCGGTAAGCCCTATACACTGAGTGACTGTTCGCGATGTGAACGGCGGCTTTATTGCTGACAACCCGGCCAAAGTCGAGCGCTGGCGTGAGCACTTTGAGCACCATCTCAACTTCGATACCCAACCTACATCGCCCTTGTTCTCCTTCTCAGCGGAGTTTCTTCCCTCTCCTACCTATGCAGTGCCATGCGATCCCCCCTCCGAGGAAGAAGTTGCCGATGCCATACGAAAGTTGCGCAACAATAAGGCACCCGGAGAGGACGGTATACCCGCTGAACTCTTTAAGTCTTGTGTCGACACTCTGGCGCCCTGGCTCCATGAGGTGATTGAACGAGCGTGGAGAGACGAGGTTGTTCCTGATGACTGGGGCTTAGGCATCCTTGTACCTATCCTCAAGAAGGGAGATAAGACGAGATGCGAGAACTACCGCGGCATAAGTCTCATCGACGTTGCTGCGAAGATCTTCGCTATTGTCCTACTCAGGCGATTCCAGGCTGTGCGTGACTTAAGGACGAGACCCAACCAAGCCGGATTTCGTGCTGGGCGTGGATGCGCAGATCAGATATTCACACTGAGGCGCATTCTCGAATTTCGCCATAGCTACCAACAACTGACGGCCGTCAGCTTCGTTGACTTCGCTGCCGCGTTCGATTCCGTTCACCGTGAGTCCCTGTGGCAGATAATGACGCTAGATGGTGTACCGGCCAAAATCATCGCCATGATCAAGGCCTACTATCGTTCCACTACTGCGAGAGTCCTCGTCCGTAACAATTTTTCCCAACCGTTCGGTATTCGGTCTGGCCTCCGACAGGGTTGTATCCTGTCACCCATACTGTTCAACTACGCTATTGACTGGATCCTCGGGAGGGCCCTACGCGACACTGACGGTGTTGAATTTGCACCCGGACATCGACTGACTGATCTCGACTATGCCAATGATATCGCCTTACTTGTTTCAAGTTTTGGTGATTTGTAGTCTATGGTGTCACGAGTGAACGAGGTCGCTAAATCAGTCGGTTTGTCCATAAACGCTGGGAAGACCAAAGTATTCTCAAGCTGCATCCCTGACCAGGAGAAAGCACCCCTGGGGATTGATGGCTGTCAACTTGAAGAAGTGGACAGTTTTAAATACCTCGGGGCGCGGCTGCTGCCTAATGGACAGAGTAAGGACGACATTGTCTCCCGAATCGATGCTGCCCGCTGGGTTTTCTCAAGCCTTCGGAAATGCCTGTGGAACTGATGTGACCTCTCCATCGCCACTAAGATTCGCGTGTGCCGTGCATCTGTCCGGTCTGTGCTTCTCTACGTTTGTGAATGCTGGGATTTACGCGTTGAGGACGAGCGAAAACTGGAGGTATTTGACCACCACTGCTTGAGGATCATCCTTCGAGTAAACTTAACCGACTTCGTCTCAAATGAGATAGTCCGCGCTCGCTGCGACAACATCGCGAGGATAACTCAGGCCATCCAAGAAAGACGACTGAGGTGGTTCGGGCATGTTCTTCGTCGTCCACCTCAGGAGCTCAGTGTTACTGCCCTCGATCCGGCACCGTTGCCCCATTGGAGGCGTCAAAGAGGGGGTCAGTTCAAAACCTGGCTCGACACTGTCCGTCAAGACATGGAGGTGGTTCTTAGACCTTCGGTATTCGGTCTCCGTCGTTGGCGAAGGGAATGGGTTGAGCTGTCTAGATCTGCTGCCGCGGATCGTCACGCGTGGAGAGGTACAATTCGGGACATCATCGAGGCCGGCTAGATCAGGCATGATCGCAGCCGTATCAAGTACAAGTAAGTAAGTTAGATCTATAGGGGTCGGGAATGACGGCCTTCGTCTGACATGAACCGGTCTTCTGACGCCCTCACGTCCACAACTCGTTTACTGCAGAATTCCCATAACTTGCTCGTTAGGCGAAGCCCTAATAGTGAAGTTGAAACAGCGATTTTCTCGAAGACAGCGAACATCACATAAGCCAGTTCTCATAGCAGTCATCTCGTGGCGCACAATCGAAACTGTGTGGGCACGATCTTCGGACCAATTCATATTCTCCGTGGCAATCCGGAAAACAAGACACGCCAGGCCCGATATTTGCGCCACTAGAAAGTGCTCCCCGAAGGCGCTTATAAGCTGATGCCTACATGTTAGCCCCCTGAGGGATCAAAACAGAAACACCATCAAGGATATGGCATGCCCTGTGACACATTAAGGACGTTTCAGTGATGACCGAGCACATTGATGTGGGGCTAAGTATTGGAATTGCACACCGACACACCCAGCAGGATCATAAAAATTAGGTACCGAATAAACCCCAAGGAGCAGTCTCGTGTAGTGTGTCGCATCCCTTGCCTAAACTGTCCGTGTAGTTACACTGGCCAGACTGAAAGAGTACTCGGATCGCGCACACGCTCGAATAACGTGTCTGTGTGACGGGGTGATGAATTATCGCAAGCGACTGTCCACGGCGCCAAGACAGCTGCCCGTGCCGGACGTAGGAGTGCCGAGAATTGATTGAGATTTGGTGCCTAGGTTGAAAACCCAGTCAATAGATGTATTCATCTGGTGGCAATTACTTGCAGGTTGGCTAATACCCCTTATAACTGTCAATTGTTCTGTTGCTGCTATCATCTCGGACGATGAACTCCCGTATGATTTCAAAAGCTCAGGAAAACAAAATAGTTGCTTGTACTCCAGCGTTCTCCTCCTCGTGAAAATGTAACCTGTAAGAAGGGCTTGTTAAATATCCCACTGTAGTATGCTGAAGTTAATTCGAGGAAATTTTATTTTTTCCGTCTCTCTTCCATGATTGCGGTGGGCCGTTGAGCAATTAAGATAATTATCCTTTTCGTTTTGAGCTTGCAGATCTGTTGTTATTTGCTATATCCTAAAGGCCTGTTTCTCCTCCAGATGAATGGTGACGTTTAGTAAAGATGCCAATTTCGGTGTCTGCCGGACATCGTGTTCTTCTTCTTCTTTTTCTTTTTATTTTTCTTCTTCTTCTTCTTTTCTTCTTCTTCAGAGGGATTGGTGAGCTACATCGAGAGTGAAGGAAGGCGTGTCGGAAGGGAAGAGATGCTGTTGGAGAGTTAGAAATAATTGTAGGTGGTGTGGTTGCTGTTCGTGCGTACTACCCGCCCCTATGAACTTCTGTCAGTGACAAGACTGTACAGTGGGTGGGCTAACTCATGAAATGTCAGCCGAAATTCCGAAATGCGTTTTAGTTTCGAAAAGATTAGTTAAGTAGGCTTCTAAAACTAGTCAGCCAGCAACATAATTCTATAATATTTCAGTTACCTCAGGATGCCGGCTTTTGAACGAACTTCCTTCCGACTACATGCAAAAATTACACTGCAAAAAACGACTACTTAAGTAGAATGAGTTTTTCTCATTGATTTTTGATGCCCTTAGAAGTCCAATTATATTTCATGGAAAACATGCATAAAAAATATTCATTCTTTTGCTTATTCAGTAGATAATTAGTCTTCTTCTAATTTTATACTCATAGGAGGGACATAATTGGGCTTTCAAAAACTTCAAATTCCCGAATAATTTTGAACCCGCTCTACCGTTACACTTGGATTCAGGGTTTCGAAACTACAAGCCGTATGTTTTCCGCGTACGGAAAACCACACATTTTTCTGCGGTAATAAAGGGGGACCATATAGGGTTCATAAAATTTAGTAGTGAATTTGATCTATATTGTTAACTTTACAAGCCGCGTTCGTAAATGCAGGGACATGACGATTTAAGAACGGCCATTTCACGGTATTTAAAATTCCCACAATTAGAAACTTCTTTAAAACCGAATTATGTCCCTCCTTCGAGTGTAAAATTAGAAGAAGACCTAATTATCTACCCGATGAGCGAAAGAATGAATATTTCTGTGCGTGTTTTCCACGAAATATAATTGGGCATTTAGGGGCATCGAAAATCAATGGGAAAAATTCATGCTACTTAAGTAGCCATTTTTTACAGAGTGCGGTTTTTGCATACATCTGGAAGGAAATTCATTCGAAAGCCGCCATCCTGAGGTAGCTGGAATATGACAGAATTATGTTTACAACCCTACTTAATTAATTTTTGGAAACGAAAACGCATTTCGGAATTTCGTTTGGCATTTTATGAGTTAGCCCATCTACTGTACTCAAACCAATCCTGGACATCGTAAAAATAAGCTAGTCTGCGTTTCCTACTGTACGTACCTTAACCCGCTTTACACGTGGGCACTGTCTATTGATCTATCCTAACTGCCAGATTAGCGAACTTGTCCAGCGTCGGGGTACGCAGGCTTGCGCTGTTGCTTGCAAGACACTGTCTCAGGGGTAGCGGACGACTAAATACCACTATGAACGTTCGCGCCCTGCAGCTGGTGTGGAACTGGAAGACGGGCTGGTAATTTCGCGGGCAGCTAATTGTAGTTGACGTTAACTTACCATGCCGAGACAGTATGAATTCGACCGCCCGGTTGTGGTTCATCTCATTTGGACCAGAAGTTCGGTCTGGCGACTTGCTTGGCCTCCCTTTGTGTGACACTGGTAGGTTGTCATGGGCTGGAGGCATTAATTTGAACCATGGTTGCACGTTACCCGACTCTGTACTGACGACTGCGTTCGTTATTTTACCTCCTTTTTCGGGAGCAGAATAAATCTCCACAGCTTTCACAAATGTTGTAACGCCTTGACCCGCCTGAGATATGAGCAGCCTGAAGTACCGTGCTTTAAAGGTTTACAGGGTTCCAGATGGTTCCTGTCTGTCTGTGCGGCTCAAATGTCGATCCTAGTGGATATCGATTCCATTCAGTCTTCTTTGCCTTCTTGGGGAGAGATCAGCCGGTTGCGCGTTTGCTGAAAATCAGCACATCGACACACGTGATCTTCGTTTGTTTCCAACTGATCCGCGCAATTCCAAAAACGTACAATTTGCCACAATTCAGACACATTCACCCCACCGCTCTCCGCGAGGTTTCTTTTCTTCCGGACTTGTGGACATTTCACAACGTGCTGACTGCTCAGTATAGTCGCACTTTCTGAGTGCCCTCCTTCTTTCATCCCCATAGTTTCACTTAAATACGGGACAACCCCTAATTTTGTATGCAACGAGACAGTAAGGGAAGGGGCAGGAGGACACAGAGGCTGGGAGGTTTAGCGCACTTTTTGTGCGTCCTAATTAAAGACCTCGACTACGATCATAAAAGCGCCTTGTTTCACTCCATGGTGATGTCGTCCTGTCTAGTCATTTTGCAGCCTTTCTCTCGCTTTACCTTTCTGCCTTCCCGTCTGCTCAGCGAAAGCTCGGCTCCCGGACTTCTTGCCTGTAATTCCACGTTTTTTTTAATCAGCTGTGCGGTCTCTTCCCTACCCCTTTTCCCCATTTCCACGTCCCCTCTGCAGCGCTTTATCTCCTTCCATCCCCCACTGTCACCGCTCACTTCCCCCGCTTTTTTGTCTCAGCAAGTGTCCACCTCTAGCTTCCTTCTCCTTCCGACTTCCTTTCCCTGCTCACCCCCTCCACCTGCTCCTCCGCCGTTCTCGGTATTGCTCTACCCCTTTTTTCGCCCTTAACCACCTACCTCTCTGCATCACCTGTTTCCTTCTGCTCTCATTTTCGTCCTGTCTATAGGTGACTGCCATCTAGCGGCATGCAAACAAAGACCGGATCAGTGTTCAAGGGTATGGCGCCGACGCGTGAGGAGCGCCAAAAGTGTTGGGATGCCCGTGACACCTTCTGGAAGTGCATAAAGTCCGTCTACGCTGACGAGAAAAACAAGGTTCCCGACGAACTCTCCGCCACCGTGAAGACGGCCAAGTGTCTCAAGGATCGGCAGGCCTACGAGGCCGTCTGTCCCGAGTCCTGGGTTAGAGGCAACTCATCTTATAGACCTTTCCATGCACTTTTCGTTTACAGCCTTCCCGGGATAGAAGCTACGGATATCCATTTGCTAGCTGGGGTCATAGCATGAACTGCAAGAGCAACGTCGATGGGCGAGTGACAGGGGACCTCAGTCCGCCAGGCCAGTATCGCCGTTTGTACTTCTCGCTGGCTTATATGCGCCTCGCCCGTGACCGTCCATGAGGGCACTCGGCTGAAGTTAAACGGAACACAGTTTTGCAATGCTAGAGGGGCGCTGACCGATTGTTTTTACGGAACTCACTCGTCCCGTTGCGTCTTAGGGCTCTCTCTCTCTCACTCAATTCGAAAACTGAAAAGCACAATATGGCCACAAGAAATTGGATTTTATTTAGCTTCTAACTGGCCAGATCCGGATAAAATTAAGCGTTCATTGGATATCGCAATTTTGTCAGACAGACTCTTTATTCCCCTCCATCTGGAATCCACCAGATGGCTACCAAACTGACGTCATTAATACTTGGATCATAATGAATTATTAAAAATCTGTCAACACAGCTATTAATCACGTGAACCCTGTAGTCATCTGGTGGATTCTAAATGGACTACCTAAGAAATCCTTTTTGAGCCAGAAATTGCCATTCAAGTCTCCCTTGTCTTTGTCGGCGATGCTATTCTGCCTACAGACTTGCAGTTAGATCAAGCCATCGCATTTCACTTCATCGTGATTTCGAACATTCCCAGTCGCTGGCGGTTCGACCGTCTCCAGAGACGACGTGTACCGCGTGCCCCACAAAGTTGGCCGAACACCGCGGACTTGCCCAGTCCTCATCCACTCGGCTCCGATAGCTGTGAAATGTCGAGACTACCAGAGATGGTGGCGTGCGCAGTGGATGACAAGATTGAACAGCCTCTCTACACGTGCCACGCACACGATCCAGTTCTCACTAAATGGGTCAGTCTTTCGCGAGGCCGATTCGGATGTCGCGCCTTTGAGAATGCCACATTGAGAAGAAGTCACTGCCACCCGACTTCTAGTCCTTCAGCCACAGAAATACCCCGAGCACCGAGTTATTCCCTCACTCAGCACCTTTAAAACACAATGAGCAGCGAGACTTGGTTTCTTAAACCGGGCCTTTTTAGTCCGGGGTTGGGATGTGCTTGACTAAGTACAACAAATTGGCCGACGTTTTGGCAGATTTTGAATATTTAATATTGGCCCAACTATGAAAAACAGCGCCTCGGTGGGATTCAAACCCAAAACACCAAGGACGACGCTTTAGTTTAGTCAACGCTCTAGCTGCGAGGCTCCAGTGGGAGACATGAGTTTAATCACTTGAGCCTGGCAGTCATCTGGTAGATCCTAGATGGACTACTTAGGAAGTCCTGCTTGGGCAGTCAACTTACTGTATCAGATTTGGTGGATTTCAGACGTTGCAGCAGGTTAAGCGAGTAAGTTGGCTCAAATGAGGTTAAACTGACGTCTCTCGGTGGGACATCGTAGCTCAGGTGGTTAGAGCGCTGGCTGTACTAAGGACTCATCTCGCTGTCGTGGGTCCGAATCCAACCGTGGCGCTGAGTTTTCCACAATTGGGTCAAAATGAATGAATTAGTTGACACTGTCATCCCGCCCTCAGTACTAGAAGTGTCTAATCACAACAAAGCGCAAAATCTGGCTACATGGAAGACAATAGAACCGCGACTCTTCCTCAGCAGTTCAGCTTCAGCACCCTCGGTTGTATGGGCCTAAATCGGTCGCTGTTGTCTTCTGTAGACTGTGATTATTTTTCGCAGATAGTGACCACGGTAGAGTATGTAACCGAAGTCGCCATCACTGTAGACACCACCGAGTGATTTTCTGCAGCATTTTTATAGGGCCAGAATGGGAGCGGGGATAGGCTGTCCAGACCGGATTATCTGTTGTTATGCTTGATCCTGTCGGCACTGGACAGGAGTACTTAGATCAGAATGAGATCCCTTCTCATGGAAGCAAGGGTGCCGCTGTTACTGTCCGAAATCGGCCTGCGGCGATCTATGCTTGTGCCTATTGATTTTGTTCCATCGTCGTACACCAAGTCACCACTCTTTGAATTTTCGGTCTGCAAATCATTTCTGGAGTCGCATTATATGTAGCTCGTAAGGTGCCCCCCCCCGCGGACAGGAATGCTGAATTGCCGATGAACCGTCGAACTGACTGAAATGAGTTTCGGTTTTTGTTTGTAAAAAACTTGCGTATGTAGCCACACATTTTGGGGCATAGGCAAATTAACACACTCTACGATCGCGTGACCCCGCAGTCCCCGCAAAGGTTACTCCACGCAACTTGCCGCTTATCCTCAAGTTCCGGCTTTTGATCTCATATTTCTCACAATTAGCGGGATTATATCACTGTCGCCGCTCCTGCCTTTTCAAAATCTGTCGCCTCCGTCCAGAACCGAAAACGTTTAGCGTCCTTCCTTGCAAACCAGATTTGTAAGCCGTAGTTGCATCTTCCGCAGGGGAAACCGGCCGACGGCTGCAAACGCGTATGCACGAGCATAAGTTGGCCGTACGAAGGTTGGACCCAAAGTCGGAGGTAGCAACCCATACCGCTCAAATGGGACGCATCTTCAACTTTGACGCCGTTGCGATTGTAGGCCGGGGCGGTTATCGTACGGCAAGGAGAGTGCAAGAAGCCAGGATGTCCACCGACTGCTCTGTAAACCACCACATCAATTTGTTTCCCCCCTATCTGAGTTTATTAACCTTCTTAACGGACGACAGTCACGGCGCGGGACAATCGGGGCCGTCAGTCATCTCCGCGGCGGACGGGGGCGATTTCTGGTCACGGTGACACGCCGGTTGGATGCAGTCACACAGGCGGCATTGGCGGGTCACGCATTGAACAAGATGCGCCACATAAGGGGAGCTGTGCGCAGGACTTTGCAGTCTCTGAAGATAGGTAGACGAATCAATTACTTGCTTTGCTTATCTTTGATATATCCTGTGCAGTTTGTATACCGGGTATTTTTGTTGTAATGAACAGCCAGCGTACCCTCTCCCGTATACGGAACAGGGCACTTAACATAGTCCCCCCACCCTCCCACGTCAGACGATCTGACATACACTTGAAGTCGTCTGTCCAGTAGAATCATGCTGCTGTTGCTGCTTTTATCACGTTAAGCAACCGCACAAATCCAATCACCCTATTTCTTTCCCTCTCTCGTGTCTTTAGATCAAAATGTTTGACAGGCAACATGACTTCCAACTTTTCCGATCCGAAAAAGCAGAGGCAGAGCTGATAGAGGCCGCCAAGTCGGCGTAGAAAACCGCGGCTACCTGTCCCGATCTGCACCTTCTCAAGGATTATTCTTCTGTGTGGGATGCCATGCGTCTTTTAGCAACGTTTTCCTACTTACTGTTTTTGTGACAAATGCCTTAGTTTTGCCCCCTCCCCCTTTACTCCCATCCGAAAACTATGTCTGTCTTTTTTTAGTACCGCTTAGGCCAGTTGTTTATCCACTGTTTTTCTCCAGCAATGCCTACCTGCTGTTAGGTCTTCAGCCGCTGTTGAGAGCATGAACCACCCAACCTTATTTCCGCACGGAGGGTCTGGGCATTGATCTTCAACCGTGTGCAGACACATCTATTTTGTTAGGGCAGTGAAGTGGGGCCATTCGCATTGTCAAGCCAAACAATGAAAACCGCGACTTGTAACCAACCGTACGAAACCGGTTGCCACTTTTACACTTTGGGGTCGTCTTACAGTACCTTGCACGCATAAAACTGATGAGGGAATTTATGCGAGTCCTAGGGCGTTGTTCGACCACGTCAGGGTTGTGGTAGCTCAGCTTGTAGTCGCCGGCGTTCCGTTTGGATTACCTGTCATTTGCAACCACACGCATGGGCAACTGAGCGCACTTGCGGGACGGTTCAGCTAGCCTCCACCCCACGTTCTGATCAATTGGGTAATAGTGGGGCTATCAGGCGCTTCTGGTTACTCACCGACCAACCGCTTGGGCGCTAGGACTCAGTACGGCAAAAAATTCGATCCTGTAGTTCCGATCATAGGATAACATCTACCGTGCGATGAGGTAGTGTGACCGCGGTCGATGACGCTAGAACTGCGTAATTCGAATGCAAAAAATTAGAAATCTAGATCACGAGCCCAGCGCGGGGATCACATATTGGCGCGCTTTCCGATTCGCTACGCGGATGACCTGCCAATTTTGCTCTATCCTTTGTTCGGTCCGAAAGAGCCGTCAGTATGTTAGTCTTGACCCCAAAAAGGACAGCAATCGTGAATTTGCGTGCATCATTTGTAGGACCTCATCATTACCTGCTGTGAAACATTCATCTAATGACATTCGATGTCGCCGGTGGTGGTCGTAATGGTGGAATATTTTGAGGTGAGTGGCTCGAAGAATCAGCAAACTCTATAGTTAATCGTGAACTGCAAATGCACCCACTAGAGTAATCATTATGTGCTTGTTTCGTCGAGACGTGATCCATAGTGGTAGGTGCCCTAGAAGTACTTTATGTGGTGGAAGTCCCCCAGTGCAAATGATTTCTCTCGAGGCCACATGCTGATCCGAGAACATTAGTCCCTCAGTGCCCATGCCTATCACCCACAAGCCTAACCAAGCATGTACTGAATACTAATGCAAAGTAGCCCCTCCCTTGAGAGCTCAACCCAAATTCCTTCGCCGACGGTGCCCAGTTGCTGGATGCTCGAGCGAAAAGCATACTCCAGGGACGAGAGCGTGCACTTTTGGGAGGAGGGAACGAGGAAGTGTGTATACATGACACAGTTGGGAGGCCCATCAAAGGTGGCAGTTGTGCTCTGGTTAAAATTCCGTGGTTAAAGTTGTCGCTAGCCTCCGGTTGGGACGCATGAATGCATTCGTTGCATGCTGTTTTCGCGGAGGGCTGCCCACACGGCCTACACGTCCTTCCTTCAAATAAAAGAAGGAGGCTGCATTTGCACATGGCATGCGTTTGTAGGTCTTTGCTCTTTCGCCGCAACACCGATTGGTCGAGAGTCTTGAACGGGCCGCAGGTGCTTCTGGGTGAGAGGGTAAAACCAGTGCTGAGGTGCCACCCCCTCCTCCGATGACCGTTTGGCACACGCCCACACCACCATAGTAAGCCTGTTACGCCTGTAATCGTTGCGGCGTGTTCAAGGTCGGGGTTCTGAGGACTTTCCCCGGTCTGCGGGTCAGACTTCAATGACTTCCCAACACAACTCACATGGAGGTCACCCATGCGAAACCGTACGGGCGTCACAGAAGCTTGCGCGCCTAACAGCACGTATCTTGGGAACACACACGGCGACAACCCTAGACCTACGTATTGTTCTTTCGCTCCCGTATTACCGTTGATCGAGGCGAACTTGAAGCCTGTTGGTCGCGTTGGACGATGTTGGACACGCTATTCCCCGTCACCTTTGGGTCAGGACAGTTGAATACGGATCTGACTGAGGTGATCGTGTGAAAGCTCTTGACTCATTTTTTGTGATGGTCCATTTCCCTGCCAAGGTATCCCTTTAATGGCCTCATTGAACTGCGTAATCACGCAGTTTGCAATTTGAGCTCTTAGATCTCCGAAATTAGTGCGCCAACTTGGGATAAATTCATCGGAATGAAGCCGTTTAGGCCTAGTCTGAAGTTTTCCATGAAAATTTGGACGAGATCCACCCGCGCAATGTAAACTGCCAACAGGCTGCTAGTAGTATGTGCATGTTGCATGATTTACCACACTGGACACGCAGACACTCGTTTCACCGGTTGCCTGCCATTGCGAGGGTTTCGGCTGATCATGGTTCCCCCACATAATCACGCAACAGGCAGTTTGCGTCCGGGTCTTTGGCTGTCGCCTGCAGTTCTGCATGAAAGTATTTTATAACGAGATAAACTAGGATCGGGGCTAGTGTGTCGCGGGTGCTATAGCCATAGGCAGGACGTAGCGACTACGACCTTCATGTCCGGTCCAGGGAGGGAAGAGGTGTTGAAGGCCACTGGAGAGGGTGCTGTATTCTGTACAGAAAGACTGGGGAACTTGTTGGAATAAGTCGGCAGTCGGACGAGAGAACACGTCCGATGCGCTGAGAACGGCGTCCCGAGGACGAGGAGTGCTCCGCGAGCGAGAGCACGCCTGGGTTGACCTCGAAGACAATTGGCTGGCCTGTACGGCTGTGATTGGCTGCGAATCCGATCGCGGCTGATGCATACCTGGAAGTACTCGCGAGGGGCACGGCGTTGCAACAGGAGCCCGTAGTCGGTCCACTACAAATGCACCTAATTTTGCTTTTCATGCTAACCCACAAGCTTAGCATTGGAATGGCGCCTGGTCAAATGGTAACTCGATCCATGTTTCCTCAACATGATCCTGAAGTATACCCGACTGACGACTTTAGGGTGCTTTAATTTCCATCTCGGTCTCTCTTGTCCTCGGTGGGGATACTTCACGGGCTAAGCAAATCAAATTTTATTTCAGTGCTTCGGACTGAATAATTTATCTCATGAGGTAAATGAGGACGCGGCCAAATTGTGATTCGACAATTTGGCCAGTTCCATGGGGAGATTTCGTTTCCTGAACCGTCGAGGCTGATAGATTGTGCAATTTAGTGTCCTGTCCCGAAGCTCTTTCTCCGTGAAATCCCGCAAGTGGAAAGGCTTGCTGGTTGGAGTTAGTTTGATTTGTTTTTTCAGTTTCTTGGTACTAAGCAGAAGTACGTTTTGGATCCTATTTAGACCCTAAACACGGTTGGGACACAACACGTAGTCGACAGAAGTAACTCACCACTGATGTCGACTAGTCTGCGCCTAGTCTGCCCTAGATTAGAACTCAGCAAGTGAATGGTTTAAATGGACGGTTTGGCCGAGGCAGGGCCCAGGGATAGAGGCGTAAGCGTCAAACGTCGAGAGAAACTGGTCTACATGTTGGGTCCTTACACTTCGATGAGGCCGACTAGCGGACCACATTGAGCTCGTCCTGTGCGTTTTTAGAGAACTTGCAATTCTGCTTACGTATAACACGCTGGCTCGACAGATGCGAGTCAACTTTACATGCGTCGGTGTTAGTTCCGATTTCACGAACACTTGTGGAATTTGAAAAAGCAACAGCGTGCTGTCGCCGTCACCTATTACCTAGGTCACTATCGGCCGTTGTAAAGTCGCTAATAAGCAAAACCTATTTTCAGCCCTTCCGATCACCACCATACTGACTCACTGTCCACCGCATAACCAGCACACCGCGGCGCCTCCTCGGCCCTTGCCGCGTTTAATTCCAAATGGTAAACAATGGATGGGACGTTTAATTCGGCTGGTGCCAAATTCGGATTCACATACTTCCGTCTTCGAATTATAACCTTTTGCCACCTACCAGTGCTTGCAGCCAAGACCGTCACTGGTATTCACGTCTTTTCTACCCGCCAATTTGGATCACGCCGACACAGTCAACCATCACACGCTCCTATTCAGCTGATATGTCCATAAACATCAAGGATGGCAAAAATACCACCCGCTTTTAGAGTCCACACATGCGCTCACATCACTCATGAATCAGCCCTGTCGAAGTCGGCAATGGTGGGCGAACTGTCGTGTATGCGCATGTACATCATGCTATTGATAAAAGGTCTGAAAGCGTGTGCTATGCCAGCATCAATAAACCATGGCTCTCGCAGCCCGGAATGTGATGGCAGTCCCCTGACACCTGGTTCTCCGCCGGTAGATGCGCTTGCGCTCCCGCTGGGTGTACAAATGATGGGCGTGGGTGCCCAGTCATCATCCTCGTCCTTCTGACCCCCTGTTGGGGCGTTGTTGTTCGTCAAAAACCTGGTCTAAGTTCCGAAAATATTCCTATGTTACACTTGAAAAGTCAAGTTGGCAAACACGCGTTTTCGGTAATTCTTCATCAGGCCAACACAATTACATGAAGGAATGAAAATGTACAAAATCAGCAGTGTTGATTGATGTCTCAAGGGCTATTAAGTCATTAACACTCATCACCCCCACGCCGCCCGCATGACAAGGTCGGCGGGTGTTAGTCCTCAGAGCTAGGAGAGGGGGCCAAGAGAGACTTTGAACGATGTTCTTGGATTGAGTACACGGATTACCCGTAATCGTCATCATCATCATCATCATCATCATCATCATCATCATCATCATCATCATCATCATCATCATCATCATCATCATCATCATCATCATCATCATCATCATCATCATCATCATCATCACCATCATCATCATCATCATCATCATCATCATCATTTACTGTGTGGACCAGGGGTGTGGAGTGGAACGCCAAGGTGCGGACTCGACGGCGCCATCCACATTCGCCCTCCCCCTCCTCCGGTCCTCTTGGCTCTGTCTTGACCCCGGTTCCAGTTAGGGAGTGAGGAAGGGAGGGTGCGCTAGATGCCCCGCAAGTCTGCCATCACTATAAATTAAATCACACGCTAGCCACTGTGTCTGCTCCACTTTGTTTTGGAGCACACGGTGGACATCGTCGGAATCGACGGTCGAACTGTCAATCTGCATTAGAGTTTTTGGTACAAACGTCACTCGATTTGTCCTTCTTATTTGTTTATGATGCTGTCTTTGTAAATGCGGTTTGTCCTAACGTGTTTGCTACTGGCTGGCACATTAATTTAAGGTGAAAATAGAAATCTTAGCAGTGGAGATAGGAGTACCGTAGATATGCTATCTCATGGAATGTTAACTGCAATTCTGAAGCATGTCTACGTGTAAAAAAGATTACTTATGTAGGGTCGTAAGACTAACTGTCGCAGAACACAATCAGAAAATATTGCAGGCGGGCTTTTGAACGAGCTTCTCTTCGGCCGCTTGCAAAAGCTACACTCCCCAAAAATGACTACTTAAGTAGTGTGATCCCAATGATTTTCAAATCCCTCATAATTGAACATACACTTCATAAGAACAAATGCAAAATGCTTTCTCTCGTGCAAATGACGCAGTTTAATTTTATACTTGAGGAAGTATCTTTCGGTTTTATAAAACCTCAATTGCCTCTATTGCCAATAGAAGCGAAGAGAGGTGGCGGACTAAAGTCCAAAGTGTTCAGGAAATCAACAAATACGATGCAAGTACTGAACTTCAACAGCAACCACCCAATCAGCCATAAACGCACTTGTGAGAGGACGCTCTATCGGCGTGTCGAAACACACTGCAGTGAGCCGGAAGACAAGATTGCCTAACTACGATAACTCGGACGGGTATTCAAAGCCAATGGCTACCTGCGCAACTTTGTCAACTGCTGCATACCGAAAAGGGACGAAAGGCCTAACCGCACGGACACCAAATATTGGCGAGCGCTTCCGTATGTCAATAACGTTTCGGAAGCTGTCGGCCACCTTCTCGCACCACTTCAGGTTTGAGTTGCACACATACCGGAGGCAATCATCAGGCGTCAGGTAATGAAACCGAAAGACCCACTGCCACGGCTAGAAACGTCTGGAGTCGTTTATCGGATCTGGCGCAGTTGCGAACAAAGCAACTACGTCGGAGAAACCGGAAGACAGTTCCGAACGAGAATGGCCGAACACGCAGCAGCATTGCGGAGAAATGACGCCAGTTCTCAAGTTGCGGCCCATTCGACAAGATCCGGCCACACATTCAAATTCAACAAGGCCGAAATTCTCGCAAGAGGTGACAACCGCGTGAGCCGGGAGCTAGTTGAATCGTGGTTTACTGCCCTCCAGTCTATTAACAAGTGCAATGACCTTCCCCTTCCGTACTCGGTGCTGAGACTTCGCCTAGGCGGAGTAATTAGCCACGCAGTGAGCGCACAAGTGAACACTTTTCCCAACTCCGAGCTCGGTGGGTCAGATGGTCGAGCAATCATCACACCAGCATCAAACACAAGTGATAAAATTGCAGCCATTAACGACGCGAATGTCGGCCATCAAACAATTAGCACACCAAGGGCAACGATCCCGGATGAAGGAGGGAGCCGTAAATGTTCATAGGTATGCGGTAGCATGGCGACAGCATCCTATAAATACTTCAGCCCCTTATGCATGAATCACCCGTATCTGCTTTTGTCTTTGATGATGGCTTCGAGCAGGAATCCGAAACGTCAGGCTAATAAAACCCTTGTTCCAGCGACCGCGTCTCCTTCTTCAAAGGTTATGTATCTTCCTTATGTGGTGGGCTAACTCGTGAAATGTCAACCGAAAAGATTAACTAAGTAGGGTTGTAAACCTAGTCAGACTGCAGCATAATTATATTTCGGTTATCTCAGGGTGCCGACTTTCGAATTAACTGCCTTCCAGCTGCATGCAAAAATTATACTCCGTAGAAATGGCTACTTAAGTGGCATGATTTTTTCTCATTGCTTTTCGATGCCCCTAAATTACCAATTATATTTCATGAAAAACATGCATAAAATATTAATTCTTTTGCTCATTCAGCAGATAACTACGACTTCTTCTTATGTTATACTCCCAGGAGGGACATAATTCAGTTTTACAAAAGTTTCTAATCGTGGGACTTTTAAACACAGTGAAATAGCCGCTATAAATCGTCATGTCTCTGCATTTGCTAATGTGGCTCGTAAAGTTAGCAATACGGATCAAATTCAATGCAAAATTTTATGAGCCCCATATGGTTCCCCTTTATTACCTCAGAGAACTGTGTGGTTTTTCGTACGCGGAAAACAAACGGCTTGTAGTTTGGAAACCCTGAATCTAAGTGTAATCGCAGAGCGGATTCGGTTTTTGAAAACCGAATTATGTCCCTCCTTTGAGTACAAAATTGGAAGAAGATGTAATTTTCTACCGAATGAGCAAAATAATGAATGCTTTTACGCATAAATCAATGAGAAAAATTCATGTTACATAAATAGTCATTTCTTACAGAGTGTAGTGTTTGCATGCAGCCGTAAGGAAGTTCATTCGAAAGCCGGCATCCTGAGGTAACTGAAATATTATAAAATTACGTTGCAGGCTGACTAGTTTTACAGTCCTACTTAATAAATCTTTTCGAAATGAAAGCGCATTTCGGAATTCCGGTTGACATTTCATTAGTTAGCCCGACGTCTTTGTATCTGATATTATGAACGAATTGAAAAACGGGCGTTCCAAGAAATTCAAAAGGAAAGATGAAATTCTTCCGGAAATTATGACTTTTATTGGGTAATTTTTCAAGACTGACCCCCCCCCCCAGCCTTTCTTAAGTCTATGGGTGCGCAAAATCAGTTACCTGAGCTGAGTAGTCTGTGATTGGTCAAGGTCTGTGACAATGCATGCTAATTATAATTTGCCACCTCTTCGGGATTGCTTGAGGCGGTTTGAATTTGTCCTTAACTACTTCGTATACAGCACCTGAATAGACCTTCCGACTGATGTATGCCTCATCGGAGTGCATTATTGCCAGGAATTCGCGACCTTTTCTCATTGGGCAAGCGCCAACAATTCATCGCGTAGGGCTCGTGCATCATGTTGCATACTTTACAAGCAGCACTAATAAATGGACAGATACGATGGACTATGGGTAGACATCTTGCGGTCTTAAAATGCCCTAATTAGAAACTTGTCAATAGCAAAATATGTCCTTTTTTCAGGTATAAGATTTAAGGAAGACGTGGTCTGTTACAAAGGAAGCGTAAGAATGCATTTTTATATATTTTGTCCACGATATATTTGAGCGAATAAGGCATCAGAAGAAATTGAAAGAACCAATACTACTTAAGTAGCTACTTTTCAGAGAGTGCAGTTCTTGCAGACAGCTGGAAGGAAATTGGTTCAAAAGTCAGCATCCTGCCGTGACTGAAATACTTTGTGGCCATGCTGCTCGACAGTCAGTCTAACGAACCTACTTAAACAACTTTCCCTAATCGAAAATACAGTTCACAATTTCGGCTAATGTGTTATAAGACAGCACATTCATTGTATGTATCAGGAAGCTCAATGCGGACGCTTGGGGACCCACTGATGAGCCGAATCCTTCGCAACTGTGTCATTCAGAGGGCAAGAGATAAGCGAACTTGGCATTTTCCCAGTGAAATACTTGAAGGTTCCAGAAGGGCAGAAGTTTAAGCATCACTTGCCAAACACATGGACATAAAATATACCCCGGTTGTTCATTTTGGGCCCAAGAAAACACCAGTTCAATGAAAGGTTAGGCAAAACGTTTTCACGACTTCCCTTGACTGCATTTCATACAGTAAAATTTAAGTCCAGAATCTTTTATAAATGTGCAGGCGGCAACAGGCCGCCACATATGTATAACCACGGATGATTACGAGTCAGAGTAAATACGGTCTTAGGCAGATATCAATACTGGTGATAAGATGAGGACCGGAGCCTACCAATAGTTAATTCCGCGACCACCTTTTGGGCCAAAAATTATTTGGTTGATGAAGGCATTGGGACCACCAGAATTTCGTTTGGCGACTCCGCTGGGCAGGATGTGGACAACAGCGGTTGTGCAACGTAATCCTGTCTTATTTTGCGCATAAGAGCTCCACACTGGCAAAGAAAGGACAGGTCGTAGTGGCCCTTTCTGGCTTGTGAGCCGTCGTCAGCCACTCGTACCCAAATCCTACGAGCTTCGGTCGGATACCGGAAGATGGACCTCCCACCGTACTGCAGGTGGTCCTGCGCTAAATTTTAGAGGCGTTTCATATTATCGTGTTCTAACGTGAACTCTCACTCTTACTTCTACCTTCATGGCAATGAGCTAGCGACTTTCTGGAAAGTCTGCATTAGCGCTTAGAAGTTGTAGAGGCCGGACTCGAATCACGTGTTTTTTAAACCTGGGATTCAGCTTGACTGACCGAAGCCATTCAACTCGCCCTGTGCTCTTCGGTGAACTCTCCTCGACTACTAATAGTTGGTCATAATGCACACAACCACTGTGGGTTCTACGTCCGCAGCTCCAATGCGAAAAAAATACTCTCCATTTTAGTCCACATTGCGCAGTGGGTCTGTGAGTGCGGTAGCGAGACCGTTGCTCACTTCTCTGCTGACTCAGGGTTCGGGTCTCGACCGTGCAGCCAAGCAGCGGTGCCTGACTAGCTACAAAACAAAGCGGCTTTGTTCACTTTATTCCCACGGCCTAGACAGATCAATGTCCGCCACTATTATTTTACTAAATACCCCCAATTGTGTCAGTCGACTTGACGCGTCTCACATTAAGGCGAGTCAGATTTCTAATCTTGAGTGTGCAGTCCGGGGTTTGGAGCATCTCTGGCTGAGGATGAGGACTAGCCCAGAAACGTCACTCTTCGTCGCATGATCGACAACATGAACTAAGCGGGGGAACGCTGATGTGGCGTTAGGTATGCCAACAGCTTGTGGAGTCCAGATCTGTCGTTTAGACGTATGATTTGCAGATAAATGTCCGTACCCAAAAGGGCTCTAGAATGATGTTTTTGCTTCTAACCACAGGATAGTAGGTACTGAATGGAGGGTTGCATTCAGGGATGGAAGGAGTTGGATCGGGATCGGATGCTAGGATACATTCAAGAGAGAGAGAGAGCTGGTTGCCGGAATCCTTAGCTAATGCCTTAGAGGATCAGTGCAACTGCCTGCCGGTGAGCAGATATTGTTTCAATGTCAAGCATCTTCCATCTCTATTCTTGTATTGATTATCGATCATATTTATGATATATATCGTGGAAATACCATGCGCACAACGGCTAGAAGAGGTTTCCCCTGTACGTAAAAAATAAGTAGCACTTGTTGACGCCAAATGCCTTCCGAAGTTTGCACGTTTTGTTCATGCAATGTTAATTTTCTCAGAGCTTAGTCACAGCTTCATAAGTGCATCAGAGTTATATTGCTGTCTCCTTCGTAAGCACTTATTTAGGAGTATGTCGACTGAGTTTAAGAATCCGTCCTGAGGTAGCAGTTTCCTCACAAGTATGAAGTACAGAAGGTATCCACCAGCCGAAGGTGATATGTATGTCATGCTAGCCATCTGGTTTACAGTTTAACGCTGCTGTAAAGCCTGAAGTGGTTGAGCGTAAGCCCAATTTTCCAGCGGTTAAGATATGGTTATGGTGCCCTACCTGATAGACACAATACTGTTGGGGTTGGGTTTAGAGGTTAGGGTCAGGGATTGTGATTAGGGGTTATGATCAGTGGTCACGGTTAGGGTATAGGGATTAGGGGTTAGGGTAACTATTTCTCAGCCACTCAAAGTACCACCGCGCATCTCCAATAGCTTGCTTTTTGCGTACAACTACTTGACCTCGTATCCTGTGCGTTCTCCGACCCCACCTGAAAAACTCCCTATTTCCGCCGGTCCCGTATTACAGATGGCTGGGGTTCGTTTGCTTCAGGTGGGGCTACGTAACCACATCTGACTCTCAAGAATTCCACAAACATTGGCCACCTCTGATTGACTCCAGTGACTACTGCTCTGCACTGTACATCCAGGTGCCGGCCCGTTAACACCTCTTAGCCAGATTTCGCATCCATTCTCAGTGAGTATTGTTTTTTTGCACGTTTCTCTCTCTCCCTCCGGTTTGTTTGCCGGAAAAGTCGTCATTATCGACCATTACACACTGCAAGCATACGGCGGGCACAAGTGTGCAGAAATAACTTTTACGCACCATAAGCGACCGCGTGAAGGAACGCACTCGGTGAATCAGCGATAACGAATATGCGTCGGTCAGTCGTCGGTTCAGTGTGAAGAGGACAGCGCAGTGGCGTCGATCGCGCGCGCGCGCGGAGGCTTGGAATGACGTTAATATCGGTGGCAGGAGGTACCATTAACACCCTTCAAACTGGCATACTGAAGGTATCGAAGAGGGTAGTTTGCATAGGTTCACCAGAGAAGGCTATTACCCCTCGCCTTGCATGCGGACTGGCACAGCATGGCGTGTTCGCCGGGGCTGACACGATGCCAACATAAGCTGGAATGATATCACCCTGCGGTCCCGGTAATGTCCGCCCCCCAGAGACAAGCCGCATAAGGACAGAGTGCAGTATAACCGCCCTTATCCATGTAATTTATGCCGACATTGTTGTAACTTACAGTAGGTAAGCTAACTCATGAAATGTCAACTGAAATTTCGCAATGCGTTTTCGTTTCAAAAAGATTAATTATGTAGCGTTGTAAAACTAATCAACCTGCAACATAATTCTATCATATTCCAGTTGCTCTAGGGTGTCGGCTTTCGAATGGACTTATTTCTGACTACATGCAAGAACTATACTCTGCAAAAATGACTACTTCAGAAGCACGCAATTTTCTCATTGATTTTCGACGCCCTTGAAAATTCAATTATATTTCATGGAAAACATGCATAAAAATATTCATTCTTTTGCTTATTCGGTAGAAAATCACGTCTTCTTCTAATTTCATACTCAAAAGAAGAGCATTATTCGGTTTTGAAAAAGTTTCTAATTCCCGAATAATTTTAACCCAACCTGCTGTTACACTTGCATTCAGGGTTTTAAAACTACAGGCTGTATATTTTCCGTGTACGGAAAACCATGCATTTCTCTACGGTGTTAAGAGGAGACCATATGGCGTTCATAAAATTAAACAGTGGATATGAACAATATTGCAAACTTTACAAGACACATTCGTTAATTCAGATACATGGCGATTTATGAACGGCCATTTCACGGCATTAAAAAATCTCACAATTAGAAACTTTTTGAAAACGAATTATGTAGTCATTTTTACAGAGTGTAGCTGTTACATGCGGCCGGAAAGAAGTTCTTTTGAGAGCCGGCATCCTGCGGTAATTAAAATATTATAAAATTATGTTGGAGGTTGACTAGTTTTACAACCCTACTTTATTAATCTTTTCAAAATGAAAACGCATTTCGGAATTTCGGTTGACATTTCGTGAGTTAGCCCACCTACTGTACTTTCAACAGTCAGTTTGGATTGCTGTGCTAGACCGTCTTGTGCGTTTGCTACCTAATTTGCGAGGCTTCCTGCAATGCATAGATGACGGGTAGAAGTGAAATTAGTTTCATCTCATATGAGATACGTCTGCCACAATTTGGAAATTATGTCTTTCTCATCCGCTTTTGCCTGAACGTTTGTCCCCTTTCCATTCGATGTCGTACTGACATCATGCAAGACCACGCGTACTAGTAGATTGAGTCGCATGTTGGGGAAATTTGGTTGAACACAGGACTGTGACAGTTCGACTGTCGTACCTGACGAAGCAGGCTCGATGACTTGCGCGTGATATAGGCAGAAAAGCATTTCCGACCAAAGATTGGAATGACCATTTCTAGTTCCTTCGCCGTTGTCAGCCGGTCATACCCAACCCCGAAGTGGGGAACAACTGGGGTTCAAAGTCGCGACCTGTGAGTTAGAACTCCAGCGCCACTAAGCACCGAGCCACGGGCTCGCTGTCCTGCCGGACGCGATCGGAAATGCACAGAGATTGAGGGGCTCTCATCGATAGTTTTTATGGAACTCACTCGTTCCGGTCCAGTCTGCCCTGTCTTTGTCGGCAGTACTATTCTTCCTATATCATGCGCCGCTGTGCGGTTGCTGGTTGGTCACTAGAGAGAGCTCTAAGGCACAACGGGACGAGTTGAGGATTGGTGAGTGCCTCCCTACCATTGCGCGTGAACTAGTTCATAGTAGACTTGTGCAACCTCTCCCGCACCCTCTTCCCCTCCCCACCAGGATCCGACTTCAAGATAGAGTCAAGAAGACCGGAGGCGCGAGGCGACGCAGATGGATGGCGCGGCCGAACCCGCAACTAACCGTGCCAATACACCCTCAAAATATATACTTGACCAGGATGTTTCACCAACAACAACGACGACAAAACCCCAACAGGGGTCAGAAGAACGAGGATGATGCCTGGGCGGCCACGCCCACCACAGGAATACTCAGCGGTAGCGCAAGTGCATCTACCGTCAGGGAACCAGGTAGATGCCAGCGCATTCCAGACTGTGAGGGCCAGGACGTGCTTATCCTGACATATCAGACGCTTGCATCCCCTGAGCCCGGGGCTAAGTACCCCCGCATAACAGGTGGCCTTGCGCTGAATTATAAGGTGATGACAGATCGTCTTGTTGTTTCTAACTTCAAAATCAACATTCCCAATTCCCTCCCCTGCGGCTGCCCCTAACGCTGCACTCCACACTGACGATTTAACAGACACGACAGAACACTGCATACTTCAAACCGGACTACTGCACTTGTAACACTCCTTATTCTTGTTGTATACTCTACCTCTATTTCACATTTACAGGGCTATTGCTATGGCATAGTTTTCATAAATTTCAAATACTTGTTCATGTAACTTCTGGATATGTGTGTTCGGCGTGGTGCCCGCAATTCCGTCCAGTATTCCGGTGGACATGGAAAAGAACGCAGCTGTACTACCTATGTGTGGGTGTGTTGGTCAAAATCCTGGTTATTTGTTGTGTGGACCAGGGGGTGTAGTGGAACGCCAAGGTGAGGATCCGTCCGAGCCATCCACCTGTGCCCTCCCTCGTCTCCGGTCTTCTTTACTCTGTCTTGACACCGGGCCCAGGCGGGGGAGGAAGAGAGAGTGTACGTAGATGCAAAGCAAGTCTACTGGCATTATAAACCCCTGCGCAAGTCATCGTCCCTGCTCCTACCGCTGCTGCAGCTATGGGGCACATGGTGGACATCGTCGAAACTCGACGGTCGAACTGTCGTGTGTGAGTGTGTGTGTGTGTGTGTGTATGTCAACCTGTGTATGCAACCTGCTGGGCACCACGCCGTCTGCAGGCCAGCCAAGGCCGCAGATGCCATCAACACGGTCGAAACAATCAAAATCGAAACAAAAACGATACCAATAACAACAACAACAATCTTACTCACTCTCCTCATCCTAACTCTTCTTCCACTACCTCTGTCTATTCTTCTGCCTATTCTTCTCCTTCGTCGTCTTCTTCTTTACCTCCTTCCCGTCGCCCCACTCGTTTTCCCCAGACTGACAGGGTGAGCCCGCTCACTCTGGCAGCCTGGAATGTTCGTTCCCTTTTAGACAATCCGAGGAGCAACCGACCGGAACGGAGGACGGCGCTAGTGGCCCGGGAACTGGCGCGCTACAAGGTGGACATCGCCGCACTCAGCGAGACCCGATTCTCCGACCAAGGCCAACTGGAGGAGGTGGGTGCCGGCTACACCTTCTTCTGGAGTGGTCGACCCAGGGCTGAGCGACGGGACGCGGGTGTCGCCTTCGCCATCCGAACCGACATCGTGGGACGACTGCCCTGCTTGCCGCAGGGAATCAACGACCGGCTGATGAGCCTCCGCCTGCCTCTCCGACGGGGAGGCAAATTCGCCACCATCATCAGTGCCTACGCTCCGCCGATGAGCAGCCCCGACGCCACCGCGAGAGACAAGTTCTACGAGGACCTGCACGCCCTCCTGGCGACTGTGTCGAAGGCGGACAAGTTGATTGTCCTTGGTGACTTCAACGCCCGCGTCGGCACGGACCACACTGCCTGGAGGGGAGTGCTAGGCCCCCACGGTCTCCGCGGCCTCAACGACAACGGTCTGCTGCTGCTCCGCACCTGCGCAGAACACCGCCTCATCCTGACGAACACGTTCTTCTGTCTGCCGGAGCGAGAGAAGGCCACCTGGAGGCATCCTCGGTCGCGTCAGTGGCACCTGCTGGACTATGTCCTCGTCCGGAGGCGAGATCAGCGGGATGTGCTGGTGACGAAGGCGATCGCGGGTGCTGACGGGTGGACCGACCATCGCCTCGTCATCTCGAAGATGCGTATTCGCCTACAGCCTCGCAGGAGACCACAAGGTAAGCGACCCCCAGGTAAGCTGAATGTTGCTTTGTTGTCTTTGCCTGCTCACCGTCTCCATTTCAGCAATGAGCTAGCTCAACGGCTAGACAACCTTCCTATCGCTGCCGCCGCCGACGACGCCGCCGCCGCCGCCGCCGCTGCCGAGAACGCCTCCGTGGAGAATCGCTGGTGTCAACTGCGAGACACGGTCCAGTCGACGGCGCTCGCCGTCCTCGGTCGCGCTCCCCGCCAACACCAGGACTGATTCGACGACAACGACGCTGCCATCAGAAATCTGCTTGCCGAGAAGCACCGCCTACACAAAGCCTACGTAGAGCACCCAACTAAGGGCAACAAAGCTGCCTTCTACCGCAGTCGCCGACAGCTTCAGCAACGACTGCGCGAGATGCAGGACGCCTGGACTGCTCGCAAAGCTGAGGAGATCCAAGGCTACGCGGACCGCAACGAATGGAAGAACTTCTTCTCAGCGATCAAAGCTGTCTACGGTCCGCCGACGAAGGGCACTGCTCCTCTCCTCAGCGCCGACGGCTGCACTCTCCTGACTGAGAAGACGCAAATCCTACAGCGATGGGCCGAGCACTTCCGAGGCGTCCTCAACCGCCCTTCCGTCATCTCCAAAGCCGCCATCGCCCGCTTGCCGCAAGTGGAGACCAACGCGGACCTCGACCTCCCGCCATCTCTCCAGGAAACAATCAGGGCCGTGCAGCAACTCTCCAGCGGGAAAGCACCCAGATCGGACGCAATCCCTGCTGAGGTCTACAAGCACGGAGGTCCCCTACTGATGGATCACCTGACTGCGCTCTTCCAGGAGATGTGATGTCAAGGTGAAGTCCCGCAAGATTTCAAGGACGCAACTATCGTGCACCTATACAAGCGAAAAGGGAATCGCCAAGTCTGCGACAACCACCGCGGCATCTCCCTACTGAACATCGCCGGGAAGATCTTCGCTCGCATCCTGCTCAACCGCCTCAACAACCATCTGGAACAGGGCCTTCTGCCGGAAAGCCAATGCGGCTTCCGTCGTCATCGTGGGACCACGGATATGATCTTTGCCGCCCGCCAACTTCAGGAGAAGTGCTAGGAGATGCGAACCCACTTGTACTCTACCTTCGTGGACCTGACGAAAGCCTTCGACACGGTGAATCGTGAAGGACTGTGGAAGATCATGCAGAAATTCGGCTGTCCGGAGCGATTCACTCAGATGGTGCGTCAGCTGCACGACGGTATGATGGCGCGAGTCACGGACAACGGCGCTGTCTCAGAGGCATTCGCAGTGACCAACGGAGTGAAGCAGGGCTGTGTGCTGGCGCCTACCCTCTTCAGTCTTATGTTCTCTGCCATGCTGATGGACGCCTACCGCGACGAACGCCCCGGGATCCGCATCGCCTACAGGACGGACGGTCGTCTCCTAAATCAACGGCGCATGAACTTCCAATCGCGTGTATCCACAGCCACCGTGCACGAACTCCTCTTCGCCGACGACTGCGCCCTGAACACCACCTCCGCAGCGGAGATGCAACGGAGCATGGACCTATTCTCCGCCGCCTGCGAGAACTTTGGGCTGGTTATCAACACGCAGAAGACGGTGGTGATGCATCAGCCGCCTCCAAACTCAGCCACAACCCCCAACGCGCCGCAAATCAACGTGAATGGGACTCAACTGCAAGTGGTAGAGAACTTCCCGTACCTGGGCAGCACGCTCTCCCGCAACACCAAGATCGACGACGAAGTCGCCAACAGGATCTCGAAAGCCAGTCAAGCCTTCGGTCGCCTCCAAAGCACAGTTTGGAATCGCCACGGTCTTCAGCTCAGCACCAAGCTGAAGATGTACAAGGCCGTCATCCTGCCGACGCTACTGTATGGAGCGGAGACTTGGACGGTGTACGCAAAGCAGGCACGTCGTCTGAACCACTTCCACCTCAGTTGTCTTCGTCGCATCCTGAGGCTGAACTGGCAGGATCGAATCCCCGACACGGAAGTACTGGAACGAACGGGAATCCTCAGCATCTACGCCATACTGAAACAAATGCAGCTGCACTGGAGCGGCCACCTGGTGCGCATGGACGACGAGCGACTACCCAAACGACTCTTCTACGGAGACGTCGCGACGGGTTCTCGTCGTCAAGGAGGCCAAATTCGCCGTTACAAGGATACCTTGAAGTCCTCCCTGAAGCGCCTGCAAATCAACCCGACCAACTCGGAAGAGCTCGCTCGCGATCGTCCGACATGGAGGAGAACAGTGAAGACGGGCGCTGCTATCTATGAAGCCAACCGAATCGCCGCCGCCAAAGCGAAACGCGAAGCCCGCAAATCACAACTTCGCCCAGTTCGCAACGCCGCCGCACAACCTCCACCTACGTGTCCTCGATGACAACGGACATTCCGGGCACGAATCGGACTTGTTGGACATCTCCGAACCAACTGCACCTCTCGAACTGCTCCAGCCATCGTCCCCCCGCCCGCCTCTTCCTCCTCAGTTCCGCCAACTAACTCTGACACTCCTTCTGCACCACCACTTCCATCCTCCTCCTTCTCCTCCACTGCCCCAGCGGAGGCCGTTCAGGCTGCCGTCTCACACATCGCCAACCACGACACAATAACCACAACCACCCCCACCCCTCCAGATTCCAGTGATGAGGATCAGGACTACACCTGCCCTCACTGCGACCGCACCTTCACTTCACGCATCGGCCTGGTCGGTCACTTGCGAATCCATCGCACAGAGGCTGGTGAACCAGTGCCTGGAGCACCAACCTACACCCACCGCACTCGCCTCCACTGCTCACACTGCCCTCGCACCTTCACTCATCGCATGGGTCTATTCGGCCACATGCGCATCCACGAGAGCGGAATTGACCGCAGCCTTGACACACCCACCCCGCAGAGCCCCACTCCCAATCAATCACCTTGCGCACCCACTAACCACTCCACAGCCGACATCGACGCCACCGACCTTACCACCCCTCACTCCTCTCCTTCCTCCTCCTCTTCCTCCTTCACTGCCACTACGACGGCCGCTTCGGCGTCTGTCGCCCACGACCTCACCACAGCCGAACCTGACACAACACCAGGCACAACCCCTGCAACCTCCATCATCCGACGTGAGGGCCAGGGCTACATCTGCCCTCACTGCGATCGCACCTTCACTTCACGCATTGGCCTGGTCGGTCACTTGCGAATCCATCGCACAGAGACTGGCGAACCAGTGCCTGGAGCACCAACCTACACTCACCGCACTCGCCTCCACTGCCCACACTGCACTCGCACCTTCACGCATCGCATGGGTCTATTCGGCCACATGCGCATCCACGACGACCTGCGGTAGACAACCGCTGGTCACACAACACTTTCCCTCACCCCCTACCTCCTAGCACCATCACCCCACCAGACATCAACCCCCACACACCTCATGCACTCAACTGCCGCCTCCCTCGCAAGTGGGAAGTGTGCATCTCGACTCGGTCCCCATGCGGCTTTGGCTGCACGGGTGACTTGTGTTCGAGACTATCCCGACACGTCAAGCGTCGTGGATAGGAAGGTTGCTGATTGAGGCCCGCTCTCGGTTCACCCAGTTCGTCACGTTGTGTGTGTGTTGTGTGTAGTGGCGGACTGGTGGGCTGGGGACGGGCTGAAGCAGCACCTTCCACGGCCCTCTCACGCAAGTGGGAGACACGCCGTTCTACCCCCGTTGTGTGAAATCCTGGTGTTTGTGTGTATGGGGGGCCAGGTCGTGCTGTGGCGCGCGCAGTCATGGTCAGTCCACCATGTCAGCCACCGCGCCCATTCCCCACTACAGTCTACTGACCGGCTCGGACAGTGGCTGGGGTGTGGGAATGGGAAGGGAGAGTGAGGTCGACGACTCAGCGCACTTTCTCCTCACTATAAACAATCTGACGCGCTTGAAGCTATCACGGTGCGCTAAAAGCCGTGGCTTGGAAGGTTGCCAACTGACGGGGTACCTTGGACCTCCTCCTTAACGGGAGGCGGTCTGAGAGTCAGGCTGCAATGGCTCCTTTTTAATGTGGCCTTTATGGCATTCCCACCACAGTGTGGGATCCGAGCCAGGCGTTGGCGGCACGCCTAGGTGCGGCTTCGGCCGTGCCAGCCTCCAAATCTCTGTTGTGTTGGTTGAAATCCTGGTTATTGTTGTGTGGACCAGGGGGTGTGGTGGAACGCCAAGGTGAGGATCCGTCCGAGCCATCCACCTGCGGCCTTCCTCGTCTCCGGTCTTCTTGACTCTGTCTTGACACCGGGCCCAGGCGGGGGAGGAGGAGAGAGTGTAGGTAGATGCTACGCAAGTCTACTGGCACTATAAACCCCTGCGTAAGTCACCGTCCCTGCTCCCACTGCTGCTGCAGCTGTGGGGCATACGGTGGACATCGTCGAAATCGACGGTCGGACTGTCGTGTATGTCAACCTTATCGTCTTTGACCGCTACAATATGGGGTGTGATTATATCTGTGTTCTTCTATAATAGGTACCTTTGGTTAATCGAAAAAACATTCTGAGATAACTTGAGAAGAACTCCTTGATTGTTGTTTAAATCTCTACTATCTCCTTTTTGGATACCTTTTAATAACCAGGTTTACTTAAGACACTTATTACTTGCCAGAGCCGTAATTAGGCATGGTTAGCCTTGAAATTTGCATTTGTTCATATGCTCGGTTTATAGGTAGTTTGCAGTTGCATATGTGCTTTTACGTGCGGTAGACGCTGTGCAAGTCTACCATCACTATAAACTAATTCACGCACAAGTCACCGTCGCTACTCCCACCCTGCTGTGGAGCTCACGACGGAAATCGTCGGCAACGACAGTCGAACTATCGTGTGACCGTAGGTGAAATGAAAACAGGCATGTACAGCAGAATTTATTGGAGCCAATAAATTTCGTGACAGTTTTTCAACTGCAGCCCGTCTCCGCATAACATAGGTAACAAATGGAAGCGCACAGCAGTATTAATGTATACAGAATGGCAGTGCATAAGAACAAGGTCAAGGAAAAGGCAATGAATAATCAGATGAAAGACGTTCACATAAGCATCATATAGGAAAGAGGGAGACAGAATTTTAACAACAAATCACAGTCAGGAGTAACTTGAGGAGTGAAGGTTACAAGGGAAATCGCAGATTGATCACGCGGTCTAACTGCTTGCACAGGTCTGGTTTCTCCCTCCGTATGTAAGCTGCTTCAAAATAACGCAAGGTTTGAGTTGTATGCGCTCGGACAAGTACTCGAAAAGATGT